AGCGGGGCCGGGAAGAGTCCGGGCCTTGCCCGATTGCATTGTAAAACTTTAACTGCCCAAGCACCATTTCATCTGCTCCCTCTGCTTTTTTGTTGCTGCTCACTTTGTTTTCTATTTGCCTGGAAATAGAATCCAAAGGCATTTTCAGGCCAACGGTGCAGAATAGTCTTCCTGCGTGTCCAGTCCACACTATTGCCTCGCCCTCCTCCTTCTTCAGAGTCCCTCGTTGGGGGGTTCGGAGGAGACACACTCCGTGATGGTTCTTGCAGTGTCCTTTCTCGTGTGTTTTATGTGCTCGTGTTATTGGCAGGCAGAGAAGGGAAGCGTGTCTCTCAGTCTGTCACTGACTGGGGAAAGAAAAATGTGGTCCAGTGACTGGGCAGGAAGAAACCTTCAACTTGTAACCGCTGTGACGCTTGACTTTGTGGCTCTTCCGTGGCATTTGCCACTCACTGTCTGCCTTGTGTTTTGGTTAGACTGGAAACTCCTTGGGAACTAGGGCTCCTTGCCTCTCCTTTCCTGCCTGGGCTTGTCTCAGGTGCTGAGGGCTGAACGAGCATGTCCTCTGGGCTAGTTCCCCTCTATGCTACCCTCCAGCCCCTGCCCACTGGCCGGTAAGGCTGAGAACATCTTTCTACCAGATGTTTACTGCTCATGGCTCTTAGTAAATTGAAAGTATAAGCATTGGGTATTTAGATGGCTGGGAACCAGGTGCCATTTGGACCGACAGAAATATCTCCGGGGGAGGATTTGGAGGTGCTGGTCTGGCCCTGCTGAGTGAGGATGGATAGGATTGGATCTGGAGGCTTGGGTAGCAAGCAGGACCTGCAAGCCAGGCTGAGGCCTTGTAGTGCGCTCCCACAGGGAACAGCAGGCCCTGGGGGCTCATGAGCAGGGGCCGATGTGTGGAAAGGGGTATATTAGGAAGATTAATCAAGTAGCAGAATGCAGATAAATTTGTAGCTGTTTAAAAGATAATTGGTTCATGTTACTTATCTAAAACCCTCTCTTTGGGCAGGAGAAAAATCTCTGGGAGAAATAAACGAGGAATCCCTCATAAATATTAATGTAAAAATCTGTCTGTGGAGAATAAATATAGGGACATTTTGTTTTAAATGCTCTATGTCGTTGTGCTTCATTAGCATATATGTTGTAAAAGATCCTTTTCTCCCCTCGAGAGAACCATATTTAGTTTTACTAATAGCCGCACGCTGAAATCTGTAGCTTGTCAGGATTGTCATACTTTCGATGGACAGAACTACTCTGCTCTCCTGCTTCAGCCAGAGGGTTTCCATACTCAGAAGTGCTGGCCCCTGGCAGGAAGCCAGTAGGAAGTCCTGGATCCTGTCTTATTAGCTAGACCCTCCGTCTGGACCTTTGCTTCCTGCTGTCTGGTCCCCTACTGTGTGTGTGTGTGCACATATGTGCGGGCGTGTGCATGTGTGTGTGTTTATACTTGTCACTCTGTAAGCATTGACCAAGCACTTTCTACAGGCTAGGTGTTTGCTTGATCAGGCTGGAACTCTAAAAGTGCAGAAGTCATGCTGTCTATAAACAGAGGAGAAATAAAATGAGTTCTACTTGAAGCATGTTAAGTTGGAGGAGCTCATAGGTCTTGAGTGAAATGATATGATGGACCTGTGTTAAGATACTCCATCCTCCCCTTTCTCAGAAGTGTGTGTGTTGGGGCAGGGATGGGGGTGGGGAGAATGTGATAAAACTTAGCTACTAACTGTTGAAACTGGGGGAAGAGAGCACGATACTGTTGATGAGCTCATTATACTGTTTTATCTACTTTTATGTGTATTTGAACATTTTCACATTTAAAATGTAGGTCTGGAACTTGGATTGTTGTTGAAGAAATAGTTTTGGTAATCAGCTCCTTAGGGGTGGTAGGGGAAGTCTCAAGAGTAGATAGAATCTGCCAGGGGTCGAGGAGGGAGACCAGAGGAGGCCGGCAGGAGGAGTCGGGGAGGAGTCCTGCCACCCCGCGCTCCCTGCCCATCTTGGTGGCACTTGAGCCCCTTACTGCCTGGTTCTGGTCCTGGCCTCGTTCTCAGCTCATCTGTCCCATGTTTATCTCAGACCTGGTATGACATAGACGAGAATTTAAGTCTCATGTCTTCCACAGATACTGAATCAAAGAGAAATTGCATAAAATAGGAAACTATAATAAAGAACTTGGCCATTAAGCACCAAGTCAAATGTGGCAGCCTGCAGAATCAGTTTAAAAATTGTATTTCATTGTATCCGCTAATTGCATTTCTCCTTTACAAGGTGATTTTGTCCAGGAAGACAGCTGTCTAGTGTGGTTATGACATCACTCTGGCCATTACTGGCGAAGGAAGAGAAGAAATGGGTGGTTGTGTAGTACAGCTCATCAGATAGAAGCTGGATCTTTTTTTCCCCTCTTTGGATTTTTTTAATCCATTTTTGCATAGCAAAGAGCCGGAGTCTCAGGATTGTTAATATTTCACACTATATCATTCCCATCTAACGCTGTTGGGAACTGAAACTTTTTTTTTTTTTAAGTCTTTCTGTTCTTAATGGAAAGTAATTTTGGTGGTCTCTTGATATGTATCTCTTTTTCTTTCTCTCTCTCTGTCATGTAGGCTATCAGTAACCCATAGATTTTGGCCCAGAAAGTCCCTATTTAGGGTTATAAGTGATCAAGAAGCAGTGAGCCAGTTTCTCTGTTCACTTGTGCCAAAAACTGTTCTATAACCTCTAACAAGTACAGTGACCTCAGTAACATGAGAATAGGCATGAGTAGGAAATGGCTTTGTCTCTTAGCTTGAGGCTTTTAGGGCAGGGTGAATTTTAATGATTTTGATCGGGTGATACTAGTCACTCTGATAGTCCTCATTCAGGAATTTTTAATAAGAAAATGTGAAAAAACCCGTTTCAGCGGAGACTGTACTTCCTGAGACGCTAGGTAGATCATCTCCCCAAGTCTGTGTAGTTGTGTCATTGTCTTTCTCTTCAGAAGCAGTTTCTCAGCCTAGATTAAGCTCTGAGCTCAGGCCTGCTGGTCCTTGGGATGAGCTGTCAAGGTCAGTTCTCACTCTGGGGACATTCTGCTAGCTGGGTAGTACAGGCATACCTCAGGGGTATTGCAGGTTTGGTTCTCGACCACCGCAATAAGGTGAATATTGTGCTAAAGTGAATCAAATGAAAATTCTGGTTTCCCAGTTCATATAAAAATTATGTTTACACTATACTGTAGTTCTATTAAGTGTACAATAACATTATCTAAGAACAGCGCACATACCTTAACTAAAAAATGCTTTATTGCTAAAGAATGCTAACTATTATCTGAGCTTTCAGCAAGTCGTAATCACTGATCACAGATCACCGTAATGAATATAATGCTAATGAAAAAGCTTGAAATATTGCAAGAGTTACCAAAATGTGATACAGAAACATGAAGTGAGTAAATGCTGTTAGAAAAATGGCACTGATAAACTTGCTTGATGCAGGGTTGCCACCAACCTTCAATTTGGAAAAAGTACAATAGAGAGTGCAGTCAAACGAGGTAGGCCTGTAGTGGACTCAGTGGGCTCCCAGGCGGAGGGACCAGCCAGCCACATGTGGGTACCCCACCCTTCCCCGGAGATGAGGGGGCCTTTTAAGCAGTGATTCCCAGCCCTGGCTGCACATTAGAATCATATGAGGAGCTCTTCGAGGGCCAAAGCCCCATCATCGATACATTTAAACAGCTCCCAGGAAGATTCCTGTTTACATCTGAGATTCAGAAACACTGCTTCAGGAGGGGGTGTAAGGAGCACTCCAGGGTTGGGGGGATCTGGGAAAACCATCATCAGAACATCTCTAGATCAGGGGGAATGACTGTTGTGGGGAGACTTGGCAGAGCTTATTGCTTATGGCTTAATGCCACAGTTGGGAACCTGTTAGAATTTAAAACTCAGAAGAAGGTGGATCCTAACTTGGTTGCTTCCTCCATCAGCTCGCAGATGGGCCCAGTGCTGCCAGTATGTTTCCCTGACCAGTTTTAGCTTGTGACCCTTGGGTCCACAGAAAAGACAGTCTGGTAATGTTTTGCTTTTTTCCTTTTGATAGATATTTTATTTTATATTGTGGTTTGGTTCCTCTAGTTAAATTAGTATCTCTAAGCATGTTGCATTGTCATTAAAAACACTTTTAAATTTTTTATGTAAATCAGAACTATACAATTCAGTTTGTTGCAAATTTGATGTGTAGTTTTTTTGTCTTTACATTTTTAACAGTGTATAAAAGTGTATAAAATTTGACATATGTATATACCTGTGAAATCATTGCCTTACTTACCATTATAAGATAATGAACATATTCTTCACCCTGAAAGTTTCCTCATGCCCCTCTATGATTCTGCTCACTAGGCACCTCTATCCCCAGGTAACTACTGGGCTGCTTTTTTGTCACTGTAGATTAATTTACATTTTCGAGAAGTTTATATAAGTGGGATAATACAGTGTATACTTTTTTTAATGGGACTTTTTTACTCAGCATAATTATTTTGAGGTTCTTCTCTATTGTTGCATGTATCAGTAGATCATTTCTTTTTACTGCTGTATTGCATTCCATTGAATGGACATGACCACAGTTTGTTTATCCATTCATCTGTTGCTGGATATTTGGGTGGTTTTTAATTTTTTTTTACTACTGCAAATAAAATATATTCAGGTACAAATCTTTGTATGGACATATGATTTCATTTCTCTTGGGTAAACACTTAGGAATACAATATCTAGGCCATGTGGTAAGTGTATGCTTAACACTTTAAGAAATTGCCAAATTGTTTTTCAAAGTGATTGTAGTTCTAGTTACTCCATATCCTCACCAACATTTGGTGTGGTCAGTCTTTTAATGTTAGGCATTCTAAGAAGTATGTAGTGGTATTGCATTATGGTTTTAACATGCATTTCTGTAATGATTAATGATGTTGAACTTCTTTTTACATGCTTATTTACCATCTGTATATCTTCTTTGGCGAAGTGCAGAAAAAATGGTGAAGCCTACTACGTGAGAAGGTACTTTTGAGAAAGGTCCTTTGATAGCTTTGAAAAGGTATTAATATAGATCCTATCATAGATAAGTTATTACATACTAATTGATTGGTGAGTATCTGTAAAATATCTCCTGTGTGCGCATCATTCCACCAATTGCTGTGGGGAATTCAGAGGAAATAGTAGTCAAAGACTGGAGCACCTAGGAGTCCAAACCCTCCCGGTTTTGCTTGAATGTTTCATGGTGTTTCTCCACCTTGTTCATCTTCTTTCTTTTTTTTTTTTTATTTTTTATTTTTTATTTATTTATTTGAGAGAGAGAATGAGATAGAGAGAGCATGAGAGGGAGGGGGGAGGGTCAGAGGGAGAAGCAGACTCCCTGCTAAGCAGGGAACCCGATGCGGGACTCGATCCCAGGACTCCAGGATCATGACCTGAGCTGAAGGCAGTCGCTTAACCAACTGAGCCACCCAGGCGCCCTCATCTTCTTTCTTATACCTGTGTCACAGCTGTGAGTCTAGAGTTGACTGGTGCTGGGGACAGGCTTTTAATTTAGTTTGTCCTGATTTTTCTGGTAGGGGGACTTGTCTTCCAACCACTGGAGTCTAGCCTCTTGCTGTTCTTTATATTTAATTGGTATTTATTTGCAGCCTGCTCTACCTTTTATTAACTTTTAAAATTCAACAGATAAAATCTGATATCCATAATGCAAGGTAGTGGATAAGGTCAGGGATGAATACACCTTACTTTTAAGGAACTTAGAGTGTCCTGGAGAGACAAGTGAAGAGGCCATTCGGACCCAAAAGAAGGACATGAAATTGACCCTAGGGAACCAGGAAAGGCTCCCTGGAGGATTGGACTTGGAAAATTTGAAATTTCCATAAATAGACTTAAATACAGTGCTGGTGTTTCATATTAGAATGGCCTACAACAGGCCCAATATCTGGTACCCCGAAAAAAGAGACAACAGGAAGGGGCAGAGGCAAGAAGCCATGAAGACAGGAGTGGGACCTGCTGAGTAAGACCACCCCTGCACCCTCACTCTTCTATCCATGTCTTCTCCTGGAGCCCACCTCCCAGAGAGGTGAAGAGATGCCACCCCCGCCACTCCTAAGGAGACTTGCTGGGACCCAAGCAGCTGCTTATCCCCACAGGGTCCTATCAATGCTATCTTCCACAGGTGCTATGATGTGATTGGAAGACTGGGAAACTGCTGTGAAAGTGAGCCTGAGACGCAGGCCGCTTCTCTGGCTTCCTTTTAAGGCAGGCCCCCGCTCACAGTTGTTCTCCCTTACCCATGAGAAACTTTATCAGGCTTGAGTCTCAGATCAAACTTGTAGAAGACCGCAGTCTCTAATCATGGTGGACACATGAAAATAGGATAGGACAGCCTTTTGGGATTCCCTTGTGTGCCCTGCCCACAGATGAACTCCCTTGTGCATTCCTGAGCTGAAGCTTCTCATGCCCCTCTACCTCTCTTACTCTGCTGTATCTGGGGCTCAGGCAGAGGTATTCCTACATAGATCTCTCACAGTTCTTCCAAAAAGCTCTTGGCTCCAGGGGCTTTCCGTCTGTGTAGCTGCCCCGACTCCCCACACAAGGAGTTAGACTTGCTGGGGCTTAATGTCCTCAGAGGAGAAACTTAAGGGTCCTTAGCTAAAAATTCAGTAACTGGTCCCCTCTCCAACCCTAGCCCCCCTCACCTACTCCTACACTTATATCTAAGTGCCCCAAAGACAATATGCTTGTGACTTCCTCACAATCTTAAATAGTTGCACTTCATTTTTGTCATATCATTAAGCCAACATGAATGCCAAGCACAGTAGCTCTAGAAAGATGTTCTTTTCCTATCCAACATATAACAAAATTGATTGAGCTGTTGTTTGATTGGTTTTTTGTTTTTTTTTTTTTTTGGTGGGCTTGGGCACCTTGGGAAACGTAAAATAATTGAAATAAGTAAACAGAGCCTCCAAAATCCTTTTCCTTTTCTTCACCAGAAATCCCAGCTTTTCTTGTTCATCAGATTGCACCCCCCAGCCCCCCACCCCCACGGTGTGGCATGCACCAAACTTGACTTTACACGTCAGGTGGGGAACTGGGCTGCGTTGTTACAAATAACTTCCCCTCTCCCCAGTTTTTGGTACTTTATTTTTAACAAAGGGTACTTATCATTTAAAGATCTCCTAAGATCAATTAATTCAATGCAGTTCATTCAGCAGACATTTAGACAGTATGTGGCATTGTCCTCCCAGCTGAGGAACCTCTGATACTGTTGAGGGACATGCCTGGAGTGTCATGAAAACCCAGACCTGGAAGAGCCAGGAGGCAGCTACTTCTCTGCCCTCATTTCAGCGTGAAGGAAACTTCACTTCAGGTAGTGAAGCATTTTTCTCAGAGAAGTCACAGAGATTTATTAATAGCAGAGCCAGGACGGGAACCTCTTGACTGTTTTGTTCCTGTAATGCTCTGGCTGATACTCTACCACAGCATCCCACTCTTGGGTGGGTGGGAGTGATAGGGAAGGAAGAGAGAGAGAGAGAAAAAAAAAACAGGATATTAAAACGTTGTGTCTTTTTTGGGGGGAGTTCTGAGTAGAATCATAGAATCGCTATCCCTGTTTTGCTATTCTGAGATTTCTCCAAGTGGGATATTTCACTGATTTTTCCTTGAGTCTTGCTTGTGAACCTGGCAGAAGCCACACGGCCCGTTGTTTCTGGTTCTTTGCAGGTGGAAGGGGATGGTTTCAGCATTTGCATGCTAAGAATTCCAGCTTTCTGCTTCAGTGCTCCTTGTGGCCCTGGAGCTCTGCCCTGTTAGCGCTGCTTTTTGGCAGAAAAGCAATACTTTATCAGCCAGTAGGAACAGATATTTCTGTTCTACAAATGAGCCCAGATTTATAGACTCAGAGTTCAAAGAAATGAGATGAGAGATCACCAACCAGAGCTGGATCTACAGTGAGGGAAGAACCACCATAGGACTGGTTAATAATGAAAGCAGCTACGAAAGGCACTCATTTTCGTTTGTCCTCTCAGAGGTACTGGTACTCTCCTGGCTGACACTGAGGCTCAGAACCTGTGCAGCCTCCTAGCTGGGAAGTAGGGGCACTGGGTGGGCACTGGGATTCCAGGAGCCACAGCATCTGAGCTATACAGGGCAGGGTTGTGCACGCCTGTCCTAGGTCAGGGTTTCCTCAAGCAGATGCTGAGATGGAATTGGGGGTGCAGTATATTTAGTAGGGATCAACACCTGTGAAAGGAAGGAGAAAGCAGGCTTGGACAGGGGGTGGCTGTCAGCCGTGATGCAGGCCTGACAAAGCCTTTTCTACCCGAGAGATCTCTGGAGTGGACCTGACCTGTGAGAGCCTTCCAGTCTTTTCTTCTAGACCCTTGACAGTCCGACCACTCACTACCGCCCATGAGTCTATATGTCATCGAACTCTGTCACTTGTTTTTCCATTCAGTGCACTGCTTAAAGCACTACCTGTTGGGGGAGACACACACACACACACACACACACACACACACACACACACACCCGCCTGCCGCCCGCTGTCTTTGGGACACACAAACACACACACACACCCCGCCCGCCGCCCGCTGTCTTTCCTGACCATCCCAAGTGAGTCTGCAATATAGCTGCCATCCATTGTTGCCTTGTACCCACATACCAAGGTGGCTTATCTATAACACGAGCCTGGGCTTTTCCTTCCAGTTGATCAGATGGGGTTCCCTACACAACCATAGGTACGGGCTGTGAGAGGAATGCTGGGCCAAACCTGGTGGGTGCTTGGGGTCTGAAGCCTCTGGTTCTGCTTGTGCTCGGCCCCACATGTGCTGCTTCTGTCTTAGAGTTGATTGTTACTGGGCCTGCTCAACCTTAGGATAGCACCCAGAGAGGCCCACCAGACATTGGGCTTCTTTCCTTGTGTTAAGAGGTGCAAAATGCAATAATTCGTATTTTACTTTGGGATAGGTATTAAAAACTGTGAAAGGTCTGAGACTTTTACCGCCCCCCCCTTAAGCTAAAATATTAGCTTATCACAGTGACATGGATGCTGACAGAAGTCCCAGCAAAATGAGTAGTCAGAGCGTCGGCGGGGTCTCTGTTGGCTCCTTGAGCCCCATTCCCATGGGTTGATGCAGGGAGCCCTAGAGCGATGCCTGCACTCTCAGTGGGTTACATCACAGGAGGGAACTCTGAGCCTGGGGAACCCACTGCATTATAGCAGCCTATAAGCAAGCCTGTTCTTTATTTACGGAGATATTACCTCATCCCTCAAGGCTGCTCACTGCAAACACAGCCTTGAGAAACGTTCCAGATAAAGAGTGGTTGGGGCTTCAGCATACCCAGCAGATGTGGGGGTGTGTGAGAAATCGGTCTCTCAGTAATGAGATGTCCTGGCATGTGCCTGGCCCCTGGATCTCTAAACATTCGATGGATGTGGAAGACAGAGCTGTGTTTACCAAGGCCTCTGATGACTGGGGTGCCTCTTGCACCTCCAACCTGATCCACATTATGTCACTGATGTCGGGGATCACTGTGATGATCTGAGGGATGTCCGGACATCCAGGAGGGCAGAAGTTTGCTTTCAGGCAGAACTGGTAAACGTATACTGTCCTGTGTTCCATGGAACACGATCTGTTTCTGATCTCTTTTTTGATTGGAATAGAAAAAAACGCATTCACTAAATCAGTGGCTTTGTAGGACCAGAGGCTGTATTATTCTGTTCTAAAGAGATGGCACATTTGACACAGTGGCCAGGATCAGGGCTACCTCTCTGATTGAGCTCTCCATGGTCTGCAGTCTTCCTCCGGGATCCATCTGGTTTCTGCAGGGGTCAGACTGGCAAATTAAGCAGATGTGATGGAGACCATGCCCCTGCCTCCCATGGCTCTTTCGTGATGGCACTTAACCTCTGCCATTGCCCTGGGACGCAGTACTGTTTCTGATTTACTGTCTTGGCTGGGGGATAGGAGTGGGACAGGCCAGGGGAGCATCAGACTTCTACTTGGCCCTTCCCCACT